GCTTTCTCAAGATTACGTTAGAATTCTGATAGACTAGCTGAGTTATGAACTATGTTGGGAGGAATACGCCAGATGTTCGCAGCCATATGGCTAAATTATTTTTCGTTCACAATAAAATAAACTTGTCTCATAATCTCTCCCGAGATTGTAATTCTTATTTTTAAATAAGTTCATTGATTTTTTCGCAGCAAGGTTTTATATGTTATCACCAAGGTCAACTCCCCACATACTGATGAACTAATATTATAGACTGATACAATTTAGTTACATCGTTGCGCAATATTTGATAATTAGACGGCACTCAATATTTGTCTTTAGTTTCACCATAACCTAACACTGATCCAACGATAACGTAATCACTCTAAAATTTGTCTACTCCTTAAATCAAGGGAGTGCAGTATTCTAGGTTTGTGTGGAAGACTAAGTTCCTTGTACAGTAAGTTGCTCTGAGTTGCGATCTCTAAAATTAAGTTTGTTATCGAGGGCTACGACCATAATCTTAACATTATCAGTCACGTGTAGTCTATTTTAGTGCATTCCATGTAGATATGGACAGCATACATATAGATATTCAAGTAACACGCGAGGACACTGTAATCTGCTGTAAACTTGCCCCTAACCCTTTAGCTTCATGAATATTCCTCAGGTCTTTATACAGGTTTTCACATCCTGAAAAATCAGTTTTCGTTGCACACTTTCTGATCCAATTCCTCTAATGATTTGAATTAAAATATACTTTCGTTCGCATGTAATTCCTTTCTTTTCGTCCTGAAACATTTTATCCTTTCCTTCCTAATTAATTTCCATTTTAGTGAGCTCATAGAGTATTTGCTTGACCTTTACGTCGGCATTTTTTTCAAGGGTAGGCGACTATCACACGAATTTTTTGCTTCCATAATTAGCTTAACATATGTAAAAACTACTTTCCATAGGGAAAAATTAAAAAAAAAATTGAAAGCCGGATTTATCTGGTCCAAAAGACCCCCTATTTAAACTATAAAGTGTTCAAAGGACTGGGGACGAATTAACGGGTAATGACATAGAAAACTGCATACAAATGTAATAATTGCTTAAATAGGAATCCATCAATCTGATTTTTGTCAAAGCTCTCGAGACGCTTGTTTCATATTCATCACCCGCTTTATTAGATCTTCCAAATTTTACTTTTCCATTTTACTGACACATTGACTCTGATTTGTGGTGGAAATCAGCGTCATCACTGCATAAACGACGAAGTCTTAGAAACTGAGAAAAAAGGAATGGAATTCTTAACGTGAGATGGATGCGAAGACGAATATAACAAGTAATTATGCGATT